GGTGAGTTTTGGGGTGAAGGGCTGTGGGGATGAAGGGATTTGGGGTACGTGAGGTGGGCAGTTCTTGGGGTTGGTGGCTGGCGGGTGCTGGGCTCCGTATCGGGGCCACAGGGGTGGATTTGGGCTGTGGACCCAGGGTTTTTCCTGTCCCCCTCGCACAGGGAGAGCCAGGTGGAGCTGCGGGAGCACATCGACAGCCTGGCCACAGGTGAGCCAAAGCCGGGGGTCCCCCCGGCCCCCTCAGCGCGGGGGCACCGGGGGCTCACCCAAACCCCTCCCCAGAGCTTTGCCGCATCAACGAGGACCAGAAAGTGGCGCTGGACCTCGACCCCTATGTGAAGAAGCTGCTGAACGCCCGGCGCCGCGTGGTGCTGGTCAACAACATCCTGCAGAACGCCCAGGTGAGGGGGCACGGGGGGTCAGGGGGTCCCAGAGCCCCCCCCAGGTGCTGACAGGCGACTTTTGCCGTGCCAGGAGCGGCTGCGGAGGCTGAACCACAGCGTGGCCAAGGAGACGGTGCGGAGGAGAGCCATGCTGGAGGCCGGGGGCTACCAGGGCAAGTGACCAGCCAGGGGAGCAGGTGACAGCCAGGGGAGCAGCAATCCCCGTATATCCCAGCTCAGGAATTGAGGGGGTGTCCCCCATCACCTGCAGCTGAGGGACCCGGGACGCTCCGAGCCGTGCTCCCGGATTTGTGGGCACTGGAATAAAAGTGACTGAGAGTCCGTGGTGCTCCCACGTCCCTGAGGGGCCTTGGGGACAACAGAGCCAGGCAGGTGCTGCCAGGGGGCTCTGGGCAGGTCCAGGTTGGATTTGACACTCCCAGGTGGAATTTGGGAGGCCCAGGTGGGATTTGGGGTGGCCCAAGTGGGGTCTGGGCAGCCCCAAGTGGCTCCTTCAAGCCTTGGATCCTCCTGCTGCTCCACCTGCCTCACTCCCATCTGGCCCACACGGATCTGAGCACACAGGACATGCTGGAAAGGGGCGACACTTTAATGTGCAAGTACAAAACGGGGACAAGGGACAGACGGGGACACTCAGGTAGCCGAGGAGGGGCCCTGAGCCCCAGGTGTCCCTCGGCCGGTGTCCCCTCACCTGCTCCAGGCAGCGCAGGTGTCACTCCTGCGTCTCCATGCTCTCCTCCTCCTCGCCCGCCGCCGGCTCTTCCTGGTTCTCCTCCTCCTCCTCCCCTTCCTTCTTCTCCGGAGGTTTCTCGTACGCCTTCTCCGACGGCGTCACGATCACCCCGTCCCACGTGGACATCTCGGAGGCCAGGTCTGCCCCGAGAGGTGACACTGGCCACCCACTCGGGGACCCCGGCCCCGGCCCACCCAGGCACGCCCCGGCCCCACTCACAGCTGGCGTCGCCCTCCTGTCCCAGGATCTTGCGGTACCCTCCGTGGGAGAGGATGCGCACGAGGGTCTGGGCGGTGTAGCACACCATGTCCTGGGGACGGGGACAGGTCAGTGTGGGGACAGTGACCCTCCCCGAGCCCCCTGCCCTCCGGGGACCCCTCCTCACCTGCTGCTCCAGCGTCATCACCGTGTGCACGCGGAAGTTGCCGCTCTCGCACGGATCCGTGATGCCGACGGAGCCGGGCAGAAAGAGCCCGGCCGCCAGGATCTGGAGGCAGCGCCTGCACGGGCACATTCCGGGTTAAAAACCGGATCCTTCCAGCAAAAACACCACCAGGAAATCCCAGCTGGACGGGCTGGGTTTATCTCCCAGTCAGCCCCTGAGATTCCAATGGTTTTGTTGGGGAAACAGTGGGAATTTCTGCGAGGGAAGCCACGTAGGACCTGTAGGCGATGTTGAGGGCCAGGGGCTGCCGGGTGGGATTGTTCATCACGGCGTAGTGCCCCTGCAGAGGAGAGGAGCGGGGATTAGGGCAGGAAAAACAGGAATCCCAGCCTGGGCAAGAATCCCAACTCCGCCGGGATCAGGATCGGGAGCAGCACCGCACGGTGATCCCACCAGCAGATCCAGGATCCAGGGCGTGAGCGGCTCGAAGCCGGGGAAGCGAATCCTCAGGTCCTTGAGCAGCCGGATCAGGACCTTCACCCTGGAGCAGAGGCAGGAGGAGGCTCAGTCCCACAGAGACTGCTCTCCGTGTTCCTGGGAGTGGGGATTTGGAGCCAGAAGGAGGATTTGGATTCAAAAGGAGGATTTGGATCCAGAATTATGATTAAATCTAGAACGAAAATCTGGGTCCAGAATGGGGATTTGGATCCAGAATAAGAATCTGGACCCAGAATTAGGATTTGGATACAGAATGAGGATTTGTATCCAGAATGACGATCTGGAACCAGAATGAGGATTTGGATCTGGAATTATAATTTTGATCTAGAATTATTAGATCCAGAATGATGATCTGGATCCAGAATGGGGATCTGGACCCAGAATGGGGATCTGGACCCAGAATGGGGATCTGGACCCAGAATGGGGATTTGGACCCAGAATGAGGATCTGGACCCAGAATGGGGATTTAGACCCAGAATGAGAATCTAGACCCAGGACGAGGACGTGGACCCAGCCCCGGCTCCGCAGGCGCCGGACTCACGTGGACTGCGAGGCGTTCTCCTCGAACCACCGCGCGTGCCGGATGGCGGCCAGGGCGCTCTGCAGCACCTTGATGTCCACTGCAAGAAGCAGAAATTCCCGGTTTTCCCAGGCGGCCCCGGGCGCGGCGGCGGCTCCGGGCGGGAGGCGCGGCCGGGCGCTCACGGTGCAGCTCCGGGTCCAGCTTGCGCAGGTTGGGCGGCACCGTGGTGATCAGGATCTTCACCGTGGCGTCGGCCGAGCTGATCTCGAAGCCGGTCTCGTTGGTCAGCATGGTCAGCACTGCAGGAAAGAGCGGGAATTGCGTGTGGAAGGGCCGGGAATCTCCACGGATCTCCGGCCCTCGCCGCGCCGGAGCGCGGCCTCACCTTCGCTGGGGTCCTGCGCCCGCAGGCTCTCCACCACCTTGTTCCCCAAGGCTGCCACGGCTTCCACTGGGAAAACAGAGATGGAGAAGGAGGAGGAGAAGGCTCGGTGCCAAGGGCCGCTGTGATCCCACCCGGGTGGCACTCACGGGTGGGCAGGATCTTCAGGATCACCACCAGATCCGCCACGTTGTGCCCCGTCGTCATCGTGCCCTTCTTGTAGGAGCCCACCTGGCGAACCTCCTCGATTTGCTGGCGGAAAAAACAACCCGAAATCCCGGGAATTCAACCCGCACGCCGCGTCTGGCGGGTCAGCGTTGAGCCTTAACCCGCCCTGGGCCAGGAGCATCCTCCCATTTTCCAATGCCACCACTGTGGGCCTCACCCAGCATCTCCCACGGCGCCTCTGCACTCACCACCTCAAACGTGCCCGGTGCCACGATCAGATTGTCGATGACGTTGTTGATCTTGGTCACCAGGGACAGAATGGAAGCCTGGGAAGGAGCAGAATTACCCAGGAACAGAATCATTATTCTCCACAACACTCCTCCAAAGCGCTTATTCCAGAGAACTAACTAATTTTCAGGCCACTGGTGAAGAACTCTGGATCCCCCGAGCCTCGTCCCGAGGCGCTGGGGGAATTTTGGGCACGGCACCTGCTCGGCAGCGGTGGGAGCCAGGTCCTGGTTCCTCTTGAGCAGGGCCTCGCTGAAGGCCGTCTCATCCGCCGCGGGCTTGACGCGGGGAAAAGCCATCTCGCACTGGAACGGGACAGAATTCCCAGCGGGATCGCATCCCCCGTGAACGGGACAGAATTCCCAGCGGGATCGCATCCCCCGTGAACGGGACAGAATTCCCAGCGGGATCGCATCCCCCGTGNGAACGGGACAGAATTCCCAGCGGGATCGCATCCCCCGTGAACGGGACAGAATTCCCAGCGGGATCGCATCCCCCGTGAACGGGACAGAATTCCCAGCGGGATCGCATCCCCCGTGCTCCCGTCAGCCTCCAGCAGCTGCACAGGCAGCCAGCAGAAGGTTTTATGAGGTCTCTTAAAGGATTTATTAAATTAACTGAGGTCTCTTAAAGGATTTATTAAATTAACCCATTCACCCCCTGTTGTCTGCAGCCACGGAGTCACCTGTGCAGAGGGCAGAAACTCAGGGAATTTGGGAAGAGGGGATTTCCTCCTGGGAAAGGTGGGAAACAGGTAGGTGAACCCCTGAGGGGAGTGGCAGGAATGGGCATCGCCCTGAGGGTGGGGAGAAACCTCACTCCAAGGATTTACTTGTTGCAATCCCAAAAAACCCAATCCTGGAGCGATTTGTGCCATTATTCCTCGATTGGGTCCCATTATCCCATTTCCAACAGGAGAAAAATCCTCCAGTGTGGGTTTTTCACTGAGCCACCAGCGTTTTTAGGGAATTTGGGGGATTCATTCAGTCCAGCCACACCACGAGATCCCAACCCCCGCAAATCAGGGCTGGGGGGGGGTCGTTAAACCGGGAAAAGTCCCGGGACATTCCCGGGAATCGCCCGCGGGGCAGGGGCTACTCACGACATAGAAGTCGAAGGGGATGTGGGGCACAAAGGGCCGGAACCTGCAGGGGAGAGAAAACCCCAATTCGCTCCCTGCGCCCCCACACCGCCCCTCCCGCCCCGTCGCGACTCGGTCCCGTCGCGACTCGGTCCTGTCGCGACATGCGGCCCCCGAGCGGCACCGGCCCCGGGACTCGCCTGGAGCCGAAGCGGCCGCCGCGGCCGCGGCCTCGATCGCCCCTGCGGGGAGAGAACGGGAGCGGCGCTGACGGGGGCTGCGACCCCCGCCCCGCCGCGGCCCTGCCGGTGTTCCCGGGTCCGTTCCCGGGTCCCTCCCCGGTCCCTCCCCCGGTCCCACTCAGGGTCCCCCACCCCCGCTTTCGGTGCAGGTCTCCCCACCACCGGGATCCCCCCGGCTGTTCGCCCCGCTCCCGGTCTCTTCCCGTTCCCCCACCCTGCTCCCGGTTATCCCCGGTCCCGCCGCCCCCCGCTCCCGGTTATCCCCGGTGCCGGTCCCCCACGGTCTCCGTGGTCCCCCCGCTCCCGGTTTCCCTCCACTTCCCGTTCCTCCCCCAGTCCCGGCACCCCGCCGGTGGGTCCCGGTCCCGGTCCCCGTGCCGGTCCCCACCTCATGTCGCCGCCGCCGCCGCCGCTCCCGACAATGAAGCGCCGCTCGCAGACCCCGCAGCAACCCGCCCGCTCATTGGCCGCCGCTCTCCCGCGGCCCGCCCCTCACGGGCGCTCCGCCAGCAGCCATTGGTGAAACGGCACGTCAATCAGAGAGGGAAGCGGCCAATGGCGGCGCGCGCCGGGCGGCCGCTGGAGGGGGCGCGGAGCCCATGAATGGAGCGCGCGCGGGGCTCATGAATGGCGCGCGCGCCGCGGCCATGAGGTGCCCGGCAGCGCGGGAAGCGCAGCAGCAGAGTGGCGCAGCGGGAGCGTGCTGGGCCCATAACCCAGAGGTCGATGGATCGAAACCATCCTCTGCTAGCAGCGTTTTTTCTTCCTCCCACTCCGCTCCGCGCGAGGTTTGCTTCGCTCATTAACATTTTTTTTTATTTGCAGCGTTGATTTCTTAACGCTCCCTAATGCTTTGCCCAGGCTCGAGCCGGCGGCGGCAGCGTGGGGTTACCGCTGTCACGGGTGTCACCCCACCCGCGTCCCCGAGCGCCGCGCGCGCCCCCGGGAGCTGCGGGCGCACCGCGGCCGGACCACTGCGCGCGTCCCCCCGCCTGTGTGTCCCCACCCGCGCGTGTCCCCCGAGCGCTGCCACTGTCCCCGGCAGCCGCGCAGCCCCCGGGTGGCACCTCCAGGGTCACCCCCCCACGCCGTGGGGCTGCCGTGACCCCTCCGCGGGGCAGAACCTCCCACGGAGGTGTGGGGGCCGGACGTGCCCGAGCCCCCCCGGGTCCCCCAGGGCTGCGCGAAGGCTCCGGAGCTGCGTGGGGTCCGTGGGTCGGGATGCTCCCCGCTCCCCGATGAGTTTCTCGGGTCTCAGCGCCCCACGCGTGACCGCGGTCAGCAGCGGCACGTGGGTGGCGGCGGCCGCCGGGACCCAAGGCACGGAGGGGACGGGCCCCGCACGTCGCCCCCCGTCCCGCCGCCCCACGGGTGGGAGCGTCCCCAGCCACCAGCGGGCGGCCCCATCCGCCGCCCATCCCGGCTGGAATGGCGTGGGGGGAGCGGGCAGGAAGGAGTTAAGCGCGGTGTGGATGATAACGGCCCTTTGTGTCACCAGTGGGGGGGGCGAGCAAGGGCTCAGCCCCGCCGCGGGGGGGGAAGCCACTCTCCGTCCGTGGGCGATGCCGGCGGTGCTGGCCCCGCTGCTGGCCCCGCTGCTGGCCCTGCTCCCGGCGCTGCTCCCGGCCGCGGGGACGGCCCCGGCCCCGCTGACCCTCGCCGTGGTGCTGCCCCAGCGCAACCTCACCTACCCGTGGGCTTGGCCGCGCGTGGGACCCGCCGTGCGCTTGGCCGCGGCCGCCGTGAATTCCCGGCGGGATTTGCTGCCCGGCTTCACCCTGGGCTGGGTGTTCGGCAACAGCGAGGATCGCCACGGGGTCTGCTCGGAAATGGCCGCGCCGCTGGTGGCCGTGGACCTGCGGCTCGCCCACCACCCCGCGGCGTTTTTGGGACCGGGGTGCGTCTACTCGGCGGCGCCGGTGGCCCGGTTCACCAGCCACTGGCAGCTGCCGCTGGTCACGGCGGGGGCCGAAGCCCACGGCTTCGACGACAAGAGCGAGGAGTTCGGCTTGACCACCCGCGCCGGCCCCAGCCACCGCAAACTGGGCGAACTGGGCGTGCAGCTGCACCGGCGCTTCAACTGGACGCGGCGGGCGCTGCTGGTCTACTGGGACGAGCGGGTGGACGACCGGCCCTACTACTTCGCCGCCGAGGGTTTGTACGTCCAGCTGCCCACCCTGCGCAACCTCACGGTCATGGACGTGGTGTTCCGCGACGGCGGCAACTTCTCCTTCATCATCCAGGAGATCAAGGCCAAGGGGCGCAGTGAGTGCGGGGACGGGGCCAGCGCGGCGGGGGCACGGCGACAGGGCGGGGCACGGACCCACTCGGGAGTGCCAGTCCCACTCGGGTGTGCCCGGACCCACTCCGGTGTGCCAGCCCCACTCGGGTGTGCCAGTCCCACACGGGTGTGCCAGCCCCACTCAGGTGTGCCAGCCCCACACGGGAGTGCCAGACCCACTCGGGTGTGCCCAGGCCCACTCGGGTGTGCCAGCCCCACACGGGTGTGCCAGCCCCACTCGGGAGTGCCAGCCCCACTCGGGAGTGCCCAGACCCACTCAGGAGTGCCAGCCCAACTCGAGAGTGCCAGCCCCACACGGGAGTGCCCAGCCCCACTTGGGAGTGCCAGCCCCACTCGGGAGTGCCCAGACCCACACGGGAGTGCCAGCCCCACTCGGGTGTGCCCAGCCCCACTCGGGAGTGCCTGGACCCACACAGGAGTGCCAGCCCCACACAGGAGTGCCAGCCCCACTCGGGTGTGCCCAGCCCCACACGGGAGTGCCCAGACCCACACAGGAGTGCCCAGCCCTACACGGGAGTGCCCAGACCCACTCGGGTGTGCCCAGCCCCACTCAGGAGTGCCAGCCCCACTCGGGAATGCCTGGACCCACACGGGTGTGCCAGCCCCACACATGGCAGTACCAGCCCCACACATGGCAGTGCCAGCCCCACACCGCTGCCCGTGGCTGTGCCAGGCTCGTCACGCCTGTGCAGGGGTGTTCATGGCCATACATGGCCGTGCACAACTTTTCCGGGGGTGCCACAGCTGCCACGGGCGCTCCCGGCCGTGCCCGGCTTCACGCGGTGGCCGGGCCCGGTGGGCACAGCTCTGCGGGGCCCTTGGCAGCCGTGCCCGGCCGTGCGCGACTTCACGCGGCGATTCCGTGGTTGTTCACGGCTGTGCCGAGGATTTCGGGGCCAGACAGGGCCGTGCAGAGCTTCACACGGGGTTTTGTGGGTGTTCGCGGCTGTGCACGGCTGTACACGGCTGTACATGGCTGTACACGGCTGTACACGGCTGTACATGGCTGTTCATGGTTGTTCACAGCTGTTCGTGGTTGTTCATGGCTGTTCACGGCTGTTCATGGTTGTTCATGGCTGTTCACGGCTGTTCGTGGTTGTTCACGGCTGTTCGTGGTTGTTCATGGCTGTTCACGGTTGTTCATGCCTGTGCACCGCTGTTCATGGCTGTTCATGGTTGTTCACGGCTGTTCATGGTTGTTCGTGCCTGTGCACCGCTGTTCATGGCTGTTCATGGTTGTTCACGGCTGTTCGTGGTTGTTCACGGCTGTTCATGACTGGGTACACTTGTTCACAGCTTTTCACAGTTGTTCATGCTTGTTCATGGCTGTTCATGGTTGTACATATTTGTTCATGGCTGTTCATGTCTGCACACAGTTGTTCATGGTCATTTATGGTTGTTCATGGCTGTTCATGGTTGTTCATGCCTGTGCACCGCTCTTCATGGCTGTTCATGGTTGTTCACAGTTGTACATAGTTGTTCATGGTTGTTTATGGTTGTTCATGGCTTTGTACAGTTGTTCAGAGCTGTTCACGGTTGTTCATGGCTGTTCATGGTTGTTCATGCCTGTACACCGCTGTTCATGGCTGTTCATGGCTGTTCATGGTTGTTCATGGTTGTTCATGCCTGTACACCACTGTTCATGG